TGAATAAATGAATAAATAAATAAATATGTGGGGAGGGAGTGCAGGTGGGGGGGCAGGAGATCTGTCTCCACAGACGGGTCCTGCCAAGGCCAAGGCAGGGGGTTGAGGACCCTGGAGCTATAAGATTTGGCCCACTATTTTTACGTTATTTTGGGGGATTCATTTGGGGTCATTACGTCTAAACATCCCTGTACAGTAGAGATGAGAATGAACCAGTTCATCCCAGTTGGACCCACTTTGTAGAAGTGGCAGTCCAGGAGCTGCTGCTCCCTCCCCTGTCTCTTCTGGCTCAATCAGCTATGTAGTAGAGATGAGCATGAATCAGTTCATCCCAGTTCATGAAGGTGGCAGTCCAGGAGCTGCTGCTCCCCTCCCCTGTCTCTTCTGGCTCAATCAGCCACTCCCCAGGCCCAGCCTCCTGGATGTTCAACAGATCTACCAGTCCCGGCAGCAGCTTAGGCTTCTATGCCCCACCCTCTTGGCTGATCTCCCACTCAGAGAAAAGGGCGGGGCAGAGAAATCTGTGCTCTTACTCCTGATTGGGAGATCAGCCGAGGGGGGGGGAAAAACAAGCAAGCTGGGCCTGGTGAATGGCTGATCGGCTAAGGAAACAGGGGAGGGGAGCATCATCATCTGTGCTGTCCCCTTCACAAACTGGGACGAACTGGGACGAATCGGTTCACGCACGTCTCTGCTATGTAGGGTGGATGTTTAACTCCCAAAGCCGTAAAAGGGAGCCGCCGTGGCATTTCAAAGCATTTTTGGGTCGTTTTTCTCTAAACAAATCAAAGCATTTCCCACCCTGCCACCATCGGTATGCCTTCTTACCTCTGTGAACTCTCTGGTGCGCTTTGAGGGCCGAGCTGTGTCGGAAGGTATCCCCGCATTCCGAGCATATCAGGGTGTTCTTAGAGTCGGGACATTCCAATTTCTTATCCCTGTGGGTCCGCACGTGAGCCACCAGCTCCGAGTGGAATTCGAAGGCTTTCCCGCAGTCGAGACACAAGAAGGAATTCTCTCGAGCGTGGGTCCTCTCGTGCTCAATCAGCTCCGACTTCTGGCTGAAGGTTTTTCCGCAGGAGGAGCACACCGCCATGTGGACTTTCTCATGGGCCCTCAGGCGCGTGATCCCACTGAAACACATCTCGCACTGCAAGCATTTGTACTGATTCTCCCCCGTGTGAGTTCTCCAGTGCGCTCGCAAGCCGGAGTAAGTCCCAAAGTTCTCGCCGCACTTCAAGCACTTATAAGCTTTCTCGCCTCGGTGGGTTTTTTGGTGTCGAAGGAGACCTGAGATATGAATATATTTTTCTCCACATTCTGAACAGGTGTGAAGTTTTGTCTCCCCGTTGGTTTCCTGCTGAGGGTTGCAGCCAAAGGTATTCCCGCAGTGAGAGCATTTGCGTGGCTTCCTCCCCATGTGGATCCTCTCACTTCCTCCACAATGGGAGCATTTATACAGCTGCTCCCCCACGTGGTTCCTCTCATGGATCAGAAGATCCGAGCTGCTGCTGAAGCTCTGGCCGCAGTGCCAACACTTGTAGGATTTCACCTCTTCCGGGGTGCTCTCTTGTCCGGAAAGCTGTAAGCTTTGACCAAAGATTTCTCCACGTTCGTTATATTCCATATTCTCATCTAGCTGGACGGTGGTTTCACCGTCCTCTTTGCGAGCATCGTGAGCCAACAAATCCTCTCCGCCCTCTTCATCCTGGCCATTCTGCCCCTTCAGTCCTGGTTTATTTTCATCAGGTTCTCCCTGGAAGAGGGAATCGTCCTCTTTGTCAGTTTTCAAGACGGTCAGTTGCCCTGTTTCCTCGGGACTCTCCACTAAGGGCTGCTCTTCCTCACTTTCCCTCAGCCACCCACCACCCGCTGGAAGAAAGAAGAGAAGACAAGTACAGATCAGCCATGGTTCTTTAATTAGGGAACTTGATAGCCCAGCACAATCAGCCAGTCTGCACAACCGCTGGATAGCTCAGTGGTTTGGGAGTTTGACTCCTCACTGTGCTTCCTTGACCGGGGCTGGACTTGTGGAAGTCTAAGGTCCCTTCCAGGTAAGATTATGTTGACTGGAACCAAAAGAAGGTTCCCTAGTGGCAAAAATCGATAGATTTGTTGGGGTATTTCTTGTCCCAACAATTTTTAAATGGGAAAATAATCTCTAAAAACAAGTGACTAAAAACTGGACATTGTTTGCAACTGCATACCATATTTTTTCCATGTATAAGACTATACTTTTGTCTAAAATTCTTAGACTAAAATTGAGGGTCGTCTTATACATGGAAGTAAACTGAGGAGAGAAAAAAACAAGTGGAGGGGAAAGCAGGGATCAAAGTGATCCTGCCGGGCTTTGATCCCTGCTTTCCCCTCCACTTGCTGAGCCTTAGCAAAAGGAAAGCAGGGATCAAAGCGGTGCAGGATGGCTTTGAGCCTTGCTTTCCCCTCTGCTTGCTAAGTCCCATGGTGCTTAGTAAAAGGAAGGGGAAAGGATCAAAGCAATCCCATGGCTATATAAGGGGGAGAGGGATCAAAACGATCATGTAGTCGCGGGATTGCTTTGATCCCTTTCCCCCTCCTTTTGCTAATCCTCGCGGGGCTTAGCATGAAAGGAGAAAGCAGGGATCAAAGCGATCCTGCAGTGCTTTGATCCCTTTCCCCCTACACTTGCTAAGCCCCACTTAGATTCCTTAATTTTGAGTTAGAAAAGTGGGGGGGTGTTATACACAGAAAAATACAGTAATTGGTGGATAGCTCAATGGTTTGGGTCTCTGGCTGTAGAGCCAGAGGTTGGGAATTCAATTTCCCTCTGAGCCTCCTTGACAAGTCTGAACCATAGGGTTCCTTCTAACTGTGCAGTTCTAAGATGATGATGATGATCTAATCTCCTTGACAAGAGTGAACCATAGGGTTCCTTCTAACTGTGCAGTTCTAAGATGATGATGATGATCTCTTCCCATCAATGCTGTGATGTCCCAAATATATAGGCAAGTTTATTTCACAGAGAAACTCCAGCAATGGGATCGTCTCCATTCCGGGAATTCTGCTTATCTTGCAGACTCCTGAATGTGGTTCACCTGGAAGGCTTTGAGGCTAGGCTTAGCTCTGTCCAAGCTTCCTGCTCACAAAGGAAGTTCCCAGCCAGCACCAGGGCAGGAATAGGAAGTTTGGACTGTATGATGTATCTTAGAAGAATTTATTTAAAAGGATCACGGGGAAAAAAACTTAAAAGCAAAATGCATTTTAAAGCTACAGCGTGGAATTGTCACTATGAATAATCTCAGAACACTATTGAGCGCACCAGAACAATTAACCACAGATCAAGGTTACAGAATTTGTAAACAAAGACCGTTCAATGTTGAATATCTTTCACTGAAATAGTGCCATCTTTCAGAAAAGTATTAATATTCTAACCCTGGGAAATTTGACAATGGTACAATAAGTACCAAAAATGAAGGTACCATTTCCCTAAAGTTAAACGATCGTTTAAATAACGTAAACAATTTTCTCAACTTTAGGAACCAAAATGGATCTGAGCCAATGGAGATTTGTATTAGACAAGAACATGTAGAAATTCCTACAAGCTAAAAATCCTGAGTTAGGAAAACAAGATAAGGGGAAATGGAAACAATTGAGAAAAGTTATAAATATGGTGATAGGGCAGACACAGGCGTGAATTAATGAACAAACATTCATCACAACTCAATTCCACTTTGGCTAAAAAGGTAAAGGTAAAGGTTCCCCTAGACAAATTTTTTTTTGGTCCAGTCATGTTTGACTCTATGGGGCGGTGCTCATCCCCGTTTCCAAGCCGTAGAGCCAGCGTTTTGTCCGAAGACAATCTTCTGTGGTCACATGGCCAGTGCGACTTAGACACGGAATGCTGTTACCTTCCCACCGAGGTGGTCCCTATTTATCTACTTGCATTTGCATGCTTTCGAACCGCTAGGTTGGCGGGAGCTGGGACAAGCGACGGGCACTCACTCCGTCGCATGGATTCGATCTTACGACTGCTGGTCTTCTAACCCTGCAGCACAGGCTTCTGCGGTTTAGCCTGCAACGCCACCACGTCCGCTTTGGCTACTGGCCATCAAAGAAGATGTAGCAGGACAGCAGGTGGTTGTTTTTCGAGGTGTTGACAACCACCACCAAATAGATTTTACATTAGGTTGGGTGAGAAAATGTTTTTCTGTCTGTGTTCTTAATATTTTGAGGTGAAGTAAGGCTTACAATAATGCTTTTTAAAACAAACTTGTATGAGCATATGGAAATTATGGGGGGGTGTTATTTGCATGGTGGAACTTCGGAACAATCGGATTCTGTCTGGTATTAGCTAATGGGTATTTGAAGGGGTTAACTGCAAGACAGAAGTCGTTGTCACAGGAAGATTCTTGTTCAACCTGTTCTGTTGGTCTGATATGTTGTATGTTACTATGTCTGATAAGAATGTATTATGAAACTGTTATAAGCACTGATAGTGTATTCTACATATTTTACAGGAGAAAACTCTGGTAGAAGTAGAAAATTTTGGTAAAACATTAAACTGCTTTAAAGTTTTACCAAGACAAAATTAATGTATTTTTTTTTCCAAATGCAGGCATACACACACGCAAGAGAGAATACCATTCGTGGTCTGTATGGTTTTTTATATTCACATACAATCTGTTGCGTGTACGAACTTTCAAAACATTTCAACAAGAGGGGTGGCCAGTCAGTGTTGGGAGCGAGATGTAGGGGAGCCATTCTGAATGTGTGCACAGCTAATTTTATTTATTTATTATTAGATTTTTATCCCGCACCTTCTAGACAAAGTCTACTCAGGGCGGCTTACATAAAATCATTCATAAAACAATATACATATACAGTTAAAACAACAATTTAAATTAACAAGATTAACATGGGCCAAACCAATGCATCCAGCAACAAATAGCTCCCTCACTTATGGATCCATATACTGGCATGATCTGTTCAAACCTGCTACCAAAAAAAGTAAAATACAGTGGTGCCTCGCTTAACGAGCGCACCATTTAATGACGAATCCACATAGCGACGCGTTTTTTGCGATCGCTAATGCAATCGCATTGCAATGTTTAAATAGGCTAAACATCGCATTGCGATGATCGGTTAGCGTTTCGCTTACTGATCTTCGCATTGCGATGTTTAGAAAACAGCTGATCGGCGGTTCCAAAATGGCCGCCTGGTGCAGAAAATGGCGGCCCCAGCGTTTTTGCACCCTGCCCTTGCTTATCGGGCAGCGAAAATGGCGGCCGGATGATGGAATCTTCGCTTACCGGTGAGTTTTTCCCCAATAGGAACGCATTAAACGGAGTTTAATGCGTTCCTATGGGTTCCCCACCCCCCGCATAGCGACGAATCCAGATAGCGACATTAATCCTGGAACGGATTAACGTCGCTATGCAGGGCACCACTGTACCAGAATAATTCAGAACAACCCAGAACATCACTGTGGAGATGGTCCTGTAGAGACTTACTCAGCAATGTGACATTCTCATCTTCTTCTTGCTTAGTTTCTTCAAAAAGCTGAATTTTCACCTCTGGCAGGTTCTGGCTTGGCTCTTCCTCTGGCATCCCTAAAACCTGGAAAGGCCACGAGGGAGAATCAGACCAAAAGTAAGATAGAATGGAAGCAAAATGCATGTTAAGAAGATATAGATGATAAAAATTGGAGCATTCTCTTTTCCCCAAAAAAGTTATTCTTTAAATTTCAATCTATTATTGGCTTCTGTTGGAATAAGTACTACAATACTACCCAGACTACACACAAAACAACACAAAAACAGGCTGTAGCAAAATTTAAGATGCAAACAACAGATCACATAAATAACATAACATAATAAGTCCATGGATCTAATAGTATTCTGTGTAAGTTACTGCTGAATAAAACTCAATCTTAGGGAGCCACAAAAATCTATGTTGCAGACTTTAAATACAAAACATTATAATATTTACAACACAAATATTTATATTTATAAATACAGTGGTGCCCTGCTTGAGGACTACCTCATTATACGACGAATCTGCTGTATGATGAGGTTTTTGCAATCACTATTGCGATCGCAAAATGATGTGTCTATGGAGAAAATCTGCTTTACGATGATTGGTCCCCTGCTTCGGGAACTGATTTTTCACTTAATGACGATCAAAACAGCTGATCATCGGGTTTCCAAAATGGCTACCTGCTGTGCAAAATGGCGCCCCGCTGTGTTAGGGACAGATTGTTCACTCTACAGGGAGCAGAAAATGGCAACCCTATGGAGGATCTTCGCTTTACAAAGAGGTATTTCACTCATTAGAATGCATTAACCGGTTTCTAATGCATGCTAATGGGCTTTTTACTTTCGCTTGATGACGATTTCGCTCTACAGCAATTTTGCTGGAACAGATTAATGTCATCAAGCGAGGTACCACTGTATTAGGAATGGCACGTCTGTGTTAACCTGAAAGAAAACAAGAAAGAGGCTCTAGTGAGGACTCTTAAGAGATGTGGCTGGACTTGTGTTTCTAGACTGCAACCCCCATGATTCTGCCTGGGGAATGATGGGAATTACAGTCACAAAATGCACATCTACACACACACCTATACACTATACAATGTTTAAATTGACATGTTTGACATTGGAATGGGAAGGAAGAATGAATAGGACAGCGGTTATCAGCCTTGGGTTCCCAGATGTTCTTGGACTACAACTCCCAGAAATCCTGACCAGCACAGCTAGTGGTGAAGATTAATAATAATAATGAAAAAAGATCCAAAGTAGCATTGACCTGTTTTCTAATATTTTGGAAAATAATAATAAATAAATAAAAAGATCCAAAGCAGCATTGACCTGTTTTCTAATATTTTGGAATC